AAGCTCTGGCGCACGTCATCGCCGGAGCTCTCCTCGCTTCCCCCCGAGTGTCTAAAGGGATGAAGGGAGTGCACATGTTTACCGAGAGAGACCATGGGAGAAACGAAAGACATTGTTTTTCCAAAGGATTTCTTGGCTGTAAAAGACCTCCACCACCCTGTGGCTTCCCTGATGAAGGCCCAGCGTTAATTTGTTAAATCCACATCAAGTGCCCGGAGAACCCGTTGTTTATTTTTGCTAATTCAGCCGGCCGAGATCAAATTGGGGTTTTATTTGTTAAGGATAAACCTTAATTAATAAAAGCTATTTATTTAGTTAGAGCTGGCCGCAGCCTGAGGGTCAGATATGCCACGATCATTATTTCAAGTAAAACAAACCCAAAACGTCTCTCAACAGTTTGAAAAACGTAGAAACTTAGAGGGCTGAATTTATTTGTCTTAGGAAGAATTTACAGCTAATTCCCTCCAGGCTATTTCAACCCTTAAATTATACCCGAGAAGAAAAGAGGGGGAAAAAAAAATACCATTCCAGGCGGAGAAGGGAAGTAAATGGTACGGCAGATTTGATCATTTTGGGGGGGGGGGGGGGGGTGTGTGAAAAATTTAAAGCTTAAAAGGTCTTTGGCAAACTGCTCGCAAATAAATGGAACGTGTGAAATAATTTAATGGCAGAAAACTCTTTGGGGCTGCGGGGTCTGCGTCACGGAGGAAAATGAAACACTTTGGGGGAGATGTAGCCCGGGCTTTTTTGCATGAGAGGGTTGAACTCACTCCCTTCTGACCTGGTCCCTGAAAAAGGGGGGGGTTTGCACCTCAAAGCCAAGTGTCAGAGCTGGATGCAGCAGAATCTTTCCCAGGATGTGGCAGTGCACACAGAGGGAGTTTGCAGCATCATCTGGGGGAGAGACAGGCTGGCAGTTGGGCGAGGTGATATCGTGCTCTGGGATGAGCAGTTTGCAGAGAAACCCCCCAAAACTGGGTGTCCAGAGGGGAGAGAGACTGAAAAGCCATCCCAAGGGAGCATCCCCACCGAGGGACGCCGTGTCCCTGCAGCTCCGGCATGTGAGCAGCTGGGAATGTCAGCGCTGGTTGGGGCTGGCTCCCAGCTGCACCGAGGCCGTTTATCGTGTGCTAATGGAGGTCGTAAGTCAGAGCCGGAGCCCCGGTGGAAATTAGTGAAAATTACCTCTTTACAGCACTCGGCGGCTGCTGCGCGGGAGGTTGGGGGCCCTGCCAGAGTGGGGGCCCTCCTTGGCAAGCCCAGCGAGTCCTTCCTATGGAAAACTAATGGGAGCACAGAGGGAAAAGGCAAGGGCTGGGAAAAGTGGGCTCGATTGGTGCTCAGCTGCACCAGCGCGGCTCTGCCCCACGGGGGGTGTTGCCTTTGCAGATGGGGCAGGACCCGGCGCTCCCCAGTTCATGGCATGGGGTGATCCAGGCTTGCCAGTGTCCGTGCTCCCACCTGGAGAAGGGGTTTGGGGTGACTCCCAGCGCTCCATGGCATCCGTAGGGCAGAGCTCTGCCCCCAGGCTGGACGCAGCTCTCGGGCAGGCAGCATTGCCTGGGGCTGGGCAGCCCAGACAGGAGGCTGGGGGTTACCCAGGACACATCCAGCGCCCCAAAACTCATCCACATCATGGGGGGAAAGTCTCCTGTCTTCCCTAACACACTGGGGCAATTTAATTCTGAGCTCATCCTGCTCTGTGCAGAGCCCCTGCACCTCCCTCTGCCCATCCTCCCCCACACGTCATCTTTCGTTATTCAGTAATGTTATCCCCCGGTTTTCCCCCTTCCCCTGCATTTTTTTTCCCCTTCAGTGGAAATTGTAATCAGTGGAAGATAAATACAGTGAAGGTGGCTGGGGAGAAGGCTCGGGAGCCCCTCTGACCTCGGGGTCGGACAACCAAGGCCTGCCCCAAATAAATCCCCAAATTGTAACTGATAAAGGCAAGGGTTTGGCTTTCTCCAGAGCCACCCCAGGCACTGCTTTGGGGCAAAACATAGATGGTGGTGAGCTGGGTTTAACTTGGTGCAATTACAAACCCTTATTCCTGGAAGCCCATTGGGTTGAGGAAATGGTTTCCAATTCCTCCATCAAGGTATCAGAGAGTCTGGTTAAATCCAAGTCCTGCTGATGGCAGTGAGATGGCAGAGGGTCTTTGGGTGACTTGATCCATCCTCTTCCCCATTCCTTGTCCAGTGCCACAGAGAACTCAGTAATGCTCATTTTTAGGAAGCTGGTTTGGGGCTGTTAAAGCATCTCTGGCAGAAACAATCCAGCCCAACTCTGTACATTGTAAACCTGTCAGACACACACCACCAGCAATTAGGGTGGCATTTATCTGGTCCCACAACCCCGCAGGGCCTGAGCTAATGGGGAAAAGATGTGTTGGTCTGTTCCAAGGCTCATCCCTGAGCAGAGCAGAGCAGAGGAGCCAGGCAGGCCTGTGGAGCTTCCTCCCTGCCATACAGAGATGGCCTGGAAAAAGTGTGGAAGGTTCTTCTACTGAAACCAGCAATAAGGGCTGAACAAAATGCCCCAAATGAGGCATGGCCCAGGGTTTGCAGCTCCCAAAAAGCCTGGGAACCACTGACACTCGGACATATCCTGACCCAACTCTGGTCTTAAACCTTGATCCCAGCATGCCTGCCAGCCCCATATGGGGATTGCTCAGCACTGCTCATCTCCCATGGCCATTTAGCTCTTCCCTCCGTGGGTTTAGGGAGAGAGAAACCGGTCACAAATGTGGCCAGATTCTACAGAACTGGATTGAGAATTAATTTAAGAGACATCTCCACCTCCTCCTTGCCTTCAGCCAAATTAGAGTGGGTGAGAGAAGCAATCAGTTAGGGAAAAGTCTTACAGCCAGGTTTAAATTGGGGATGAAACCAAAGAGGGTTTATAAATTTTATTTATACATTTCCTAGTGTCCTGCTGAAATCATTGCTGGTTCAGTGAGGGCAGTGTGTGCCCTTGGTGATGGCAAGTTTTGAACCAAACCCTGGTCCGTCATTTCCCCAGAAGCCCTACGGGGTCATCATAAACCCAGCAAGGAAGCATCTCTCACCCTTGGTACATCCTGTAGCTCTTTCCCAGCCTGATGGTTCCCATTTCAGTCCCAGGCTCCCAGAAAAGCCAGGGACAACCATGGCTGGACTTCATGTATTTTAATCCAGCGGCTCGTTAGCTTGCTGAAGGAAAACAGGACCAAAAAAGGAGTTCAACTAAAAGGGGCAACTGGAAAGCAGAGACTGGCAGAACATTTGAAGCTGCAGGAACAAGGGCTGGAGGGAATCCTGAGAATTTTATTTGTGAACCTTTAAACACGATCGGCAGCAAAGGGCAGCCTGTGGTTTCCTGGCTGGGGAAAGGGCCTCAAACCCACACATATTTCAGGCACAGCACTGTCCATCCTGTCTTTACCCAACCAAGAAGGCCGTGTCCCAAATACAAGAGGCTGTTTCCAGCCCAAGGGATGGTCAGCCAAGGTCTGAATGCACCTACAACACAATGAAAGGCCCAGGGAAATGCTGGCAGCTGCAGCGAGGCCCTGGCAGGTGGACAGAGCTCCTTTTCTTCCCCTTTGCACCCAGGGGTGCTTTTCTCTTCCCACAATCCCATCATGGTCAAAACTAGCATTCCTGCATGTGCCTGGGAGATGGGGGACATCTGGGTGGTCGTGGGGAGCAGATATTGAGGTTTCTCTGGTCCTTATGGCTCATCCTCAGGATGAACATCTCTTGAGAGTGGTGTACTCAAGCACAGAGGCCTTAGGGACTTGATGCAAAACTTACTGGTGGACGTTTTGTGGCTTGAATTATTAAGAATTAAGGTCCCAAGATGGTTTTTGCGGCCTTAAAGATCTTGGAACCCACAGTTTCCTCCTGCTCAACAGCTTGATGGTGTCTTGGAGCGGGAGAGTTAATATCCCTTCCCGTTGATTTTGTTTGTTGCTCAAGTATCATCTAAAAACCCTGCACTTACATAATAAGTACCAGGGTAACTTATTAGCAAGTATTTAATTCTTGAGCACATTGAGGTAGCAGTGAGTTCTGCCACCAGTGGCCTCTGCAGTGATATAGAGCAGAAACCCCCAATATAACCCTGCTATGAATCAGAATGTCATAAAATTATTAACATTTCAAATAATTCCAAAATGCTTTCCCACCAGTAGGTACAGATTGGATCCAGATGCTTTATTAACAGAAAGAATCATTAAACCAGTACCTCCATAAGGCAGAACGACAGCGAGTCGTGCTCCCCACGAAGCCTTTGCAGGCAGCTGACTGGGTGTCTCGGAAAAAGACTTCATAAACTTGCCTAAACCTTATGATATTAGTGACAAAGAGGAGATTAATCTCAGCCTGGCTGACAGCCCAGGATCAATACTGAGAAACCAAACTACACCCTGAGCTTCATGTTTCCATGAGCCAGCAAAGCCAGAAATAAACACTGCGGAGGCTGGGCTCTGCGAGACGCGGTGCCGTTCGTTCCGAGCTCTGTAGGCCAGGTTTGGATGAGCAGATGCTTGGCTGCAGTCCTGTGTCACCCTGGGGACATGCCACACAGCTGGGGCTTCAGGGGGTGCTGGAGGTGGGAGCTGAGACCCACATCTTGGGGGCGTTTTGGTGCCGAATTTCGTGAAAGCTTGACCCAACGCCGTAGGATGAGCCGAGCCCAGGACACCCTGGGGGCAGTTTGGATCAAGTGCTGCCCAAAAATCCACGGAGACCGGTATTCAAAATCAGATCCAGGTGGTTTTAGCCAGTCGTGAAACCACCACAGGTCTCTGCAAATATTGGGGTTAACCCTCAGCTCCAGCATAGGTTTTGATTCTCGTGGAGACCACAGGGCTACACATATGCTGCTCCCTCCAGAGTCCCAGGTGCCTGCAGGGAGCGCAGACCTCCAGGAGGGCCTGAGCCCGGCTGGGCTGTGGGGTCTGTGGGGTCTCACGTGAGTCTGGTTCTCATGTGGCCTCTTCTGTGCTTTCCTCACAGGTGAGAGCCTGAGCCCGAGCCGTGGGGCGGCCAAGAGGAAGAAGAAGCAGCGGAGGAACCGCACCACCTTCAACAGCAGCCAGCTGCAGGCTCTGGAGAGGGTCTTCGAGAGGACGCACTACCCCGACGCCTTCGTGCGGGAGGAGCTGGCGAGGAGGGTCAACCTCAGCGAGGCGAGAGTCCAGGTGAGCACAGGTTTGTGTGGGAGAAAACAACACCCCCTGCCTTGCCCCCAGGAGGGAGCAGGGACTGTCCTCTCTCTGTTTTCATCCTGCACATGACCACGATTGGTAGGACAGACGCCTGGGGCACCCCTGCTGACCGTCCTCCCTCCCCACGCAGGTCTGGTTTCAGAACCGGAGGGCCAAGTTTCGCCGTAACGAGAGGGCCATGCTGGCCAACAGATCAGCATCACTCCTCAAATCCTACAGCCAAGAGGCAGCCATTGAGCAGCCCATGGCACCACGACCCACCGCACTGACCCCGGAGTATCTCTCTTGGACCAGCACCTCCCCGTACAGGTAGGTGGAGGCTCTGGAGCAGCTGGGGAGGAGGTGGCCTAGGGACCAGTCCACTGTAGGAACGCGGCCTTGTGCTGTTACTGGGGATTTAGGGAGTTTTACAGGGCCAAAAGGAGCTCGTCTGACTTTGCTTTGGGAACCCCTTTCACCTCTGAGCACCCGCTGCCTGTCGCTGAGCAGGCTTCTCGGCCTCCATGCATTTTGGGGCCCTGGTCCTCGAAAGGGATTTGCTTGGCCTTGTGCTGACCCTTCCCACATCTCGGCACGGGAGGTGACACGGGTCCCTTCTGGTTCCCAGCTGTTCACGAGCAGGCATCTTGTCCGAAAGCTCAAGGCAGGGCTTCCTGGCGCATAGTTTGAGGGGTTCCCACATCCATCCAGCCATAAAAATGCTGAAGCCTTGGCTGCTGTTGTGGGAGATCTCTAAGAGGGAGTGGGGCAGCTTGGCCTGGGAAGCTGGCGGGACCACGAGGGGCATGGGGACTTCTCCACAGGCAACGCCTCATTCCTCCCCGCTCCCTCCCCCCAGCACTGTGCCCTCCTACAGCTCCAGCGGGACCGCGACGCCCACCCAAGGGGTGAACATGGCCAACAGCATCGCCAGCCTGCGCCTCAAAGCCAAAGAGTTCAGCCTCCACCAGAACCAGGTGCCGACCGTGAACTGACCAGGGCAAAGCCCGCCCCGTGGCCTCATCCAGGGTACAACGTGGAGCTCCTGTGCTGGCCCAGGACGAATCCACCACCTGCCCAACACGTCACTCATCCAATGTCTCAGCACCTCTTCTCTCCTCTCCCCTTCCCTTTTGAAGGTAGAGTCAGTCCCCAGGCCGAAGTGGCACATAATTATAGCCACATATGGAGCAAACTTGGTTAGAAACTTGCTTTTCCGCACACCCTTATAATAACGGCTATATATACACACACATACCCCCCACGCGCTCTTCGAGGACAAACAGACTTGCCAAGGGAACAAGAATTTGCTTCCAAACATGGAAGGATCTTGGACTATTGGATTTGACCAATTTGGGTATCTCGCCCAGAGAGCCAAAGAGTTCTTGGGCCCTCTCCTCCCGCGGGGACGTGCAGCGGTGGGAGGACCACGAGCCCCCCTTTCCGCCAGGCTGTGACTTGTGGCGCTCAACCACAGGTGCCGAAGCTGACCCGTGTGTCCACCTCTTTGTGCAACCTCAGCCACAGTGTTTGGGACTTTGGGAAGCTGACGGCTCACCCACGCCGTGGCCAGTCCCAGCCAGCCCTCTGCACTGTGTTACCTGCATTTAGGAGTAGCCTATTTGACGGCATCAGGCTTTGTTCCTTCCCAGAGGAGCAAGGAGGGTTGGAGCCTCTCACCAGCCCCTCTTGGAGCCTGTGAGCTGGGGGTGCATTGCAGGTCCCCAAGCAGGCACCACTGCCCTGCCTTGGTGGGTTTGCCAGCGACTCTGCAGAGCCCCAGGTCATTGAACCGTCCCAGGGAAAGAGAAAATTGGAAAAAGCTGTTGGGTTTCAGCTGAGTAGGTGGCTCCCAGCGCTTCGTGCCAACGAAGGCTTCGCCTTCCGGAGGCACAGCCTCCCTGTCGGCAGCTCCGCAGATGTGAGCAGGGCTCTGGGGCCGGAGACTCCACGGGGGGAGGTTTCTTTGGTTTTGCAGAGAGGAAATGGTTTCCCCCCGTCCCACCCCGCCGTGCAGCCTAATGAGGTTGCAAGGTGGGATGTGTGTGGGGTGAACATGGTGGGGGCAGCCTCGCCCCAGCCCACGGGACTGAACTGTGGAGAGATGAAGCCTCTGCCTTCCCCTGCCAGTCCTGTGGCAGTGGGGAACGAGCCAGAGGAATGGAGGTGTTACCCTCTGGAAACCAGACCACCCTTTCCTCACCCACCACAAAATGCCACCAGCCAAGCGTGGGGACACCACCAGCTCCGAGGGGTGGCCTGGACAGAGAAGGCACCAGGCCTGCTTGCCTAGAAGGGCTTGGCTTGGGGACTGCAGCAGCAGGTCTGAGGATGAACAGAGCAATTGCTGAGGTGCTTCCTCCAGATGAACATCCTCTGGTCTGTGACACCAAGGCTGAGAGTGTCACAACTACAAAGTGCCCATCTGAGTGGCCACAGCTCCCAGGAACATCCTCTCCCATTCCCGCTGGGGTTCTCACTGCAGCTACATGTGGGACCCTCAGCTGCACCGCAGGCAGCACCAACCCAGGGGGACTCACCCGGCACCCAGAGCTGGAGATCTGATGGGAGAACAAGGAGAGGAGCACATCTCCTCTGGCTGGGGGTGAACCAGCCCTTCCATCCTGCCTCCAGCCCCAGCTTTCTCTGCTCCACCCAATCCATTTGGGAACAGCCACCTTCTCCTGCACAGCAGGCAGGGACAGGGCACAGCGTGAGTGACACTGTCTACCCCATCCAGGGAGCAGTGCCACCCTAAATACCCACCCTCTGCCCCCATCCCTGTTTCCAGGGCTGGTATTTCCCCCATTTGCCATGCCAGCAGCTCCCCACACCACACAGAGACATGCCAAGCCAGGGGGAAGAGGGATCCACTGGGGATCAAATCACCCACCCTGAGAAACCCCCCTTAGGGCAGAAGGAAGAAGCCCGGGGGGGTCCTATTCCCATGGAAAAGCACAGGGCTCTTTTTTCGGTTATACAAGATGAAACCACAGGGATATAAATGTCGCTGCCTCTTTGAGAACATTAATGAAAATAAACCCATTTAATAGTTTGCAGATGCCTTTTCTGTAAACCTAAAAAAAGCAGGGAATAAATATTTCTTCACTAAATATCTATATGTATATATATATTTGAAAACATTTGCTCCTAATCTTAGGGCCCCTCCTTCACCGTGCTCTTGGCAGCTTATCACAGCTTGTCAGTCAGTGCTGAACTCACCGAGACGAGATACAAATTGCACCCACGGAGGGGTAGCAGGACCGAGGGATTATTGTAATCTAAGCTCTCTCTCGCCCTTTCTATTTGTACATTTCAATTACTTGTAACAAGATCCACGGTGGATTTTTCGGTTTGGGGTTTGTTTTTTGTTTTTATTTTGTTTTATTTTGTTTTCTTTTTTCCCTCTGCATGTCCGTGTTTTGGAAATTTTTTTGTAAGGTTTTTTTGTAAAAACAACGCTTGTGAAATAATGGAGGAATAAATATTTTACTGAGTAGAGGCGTGTCGGTGCATGTGATGGGGACCTGGCTCTTCCCTCGTCAGCCACCGCGGTTTCCCACCTGCCCTGGACGAGCAGCCCAGGCAGGGGACAAGAGCCATGAATCTGACCACATTCACCCTGAGTGATGGTGGCACCTCACAGCTTCTCCCCAAGACCTGGATTTCATCCCAGGCTCCCAAACAAATGGTCCACATGCCCTAGGAGAGAGGCAGGAGCAAGGGGGGAACATGTCAAGGCCCTGTGGATCTGAGAAGGGGTGGCAGGGGCCACGTTTCTGCAGCAGAACTGCTGGGCTTCCTTCTGGCTTGGGAACCCTCAAGCTGAAGCCTGGAGATGGTGGAAATTGAGGCAGCACGGAAAACAGCCTAACAAAGGCTCCTGCATAACAGCGAATTGCAGGGCCTTTCCAGATCCACCTTATTTCATTTGGGGATAATGAGTGTGGGCTGTTGAGGAAGGGGTGTCAAGGAAGAGGGGTCAGCATGCTCTTGCTCTTCCCCTTCAAAATCCCACTGGGAGTGACAGACCTTACAGGATCTGTCCTGGGCAGCCCCCTTTAATGCTGGTCCCAGTTCACACCCACAGCCTTGGGAGCAGCACCCCCATGTCCCCCCAGCAGCAAGGGAACGGGTTGAGCTGGGATGCAGCCAGGAGCAGGCAGCAGAGCCCCTCGCTGCTGGGTTATCAGGTCAAATCCAGCGTTGTAAGAGGGAATGGAAACCTGCAAACAGTAATTGATGCTCCACAGACATCAGAGATGAGCATCTGTTAACAGACCTCCCATTCTCTGGGGACAGGGCTCATCCATGGTCCCAGCAGAGACCAGCAGAGAGTTATCCCACAGCCCTGGGAGCCGGAAACAGCCAGCACAGAGGTCTGGATCAGCTCAGGGAATTGGAGGCAGTGGAGAAATAAGGAGATTTTCTCCTATACTCTCACTGCAGGAACATGCAGGCACTCAGATGCTGCTCTGTCAAGCACACAGACCGAGTAAAGGCTGGGCAGCACAAACCCAAATCAGCACCAAACCCAGCTCTTCAGGCTCCATCCTGTGCCCCAAGGGGGCATTAACCTGGTGAGCTGGAGGCTGGGCACTGATGGGGCACGTGGGAGAGAGCCAGGCTGAGGGGGTGAGATGTGGGACCTGAAGGGCAGCCCAGCCTCACTGAGGGCTCAGCAGAGTCTCACCACTGAGTGGATTTGCAAGGAGCCTGGATTAGAACAGGATGCTGTGAGCAGGATGGCTCCTAGAGAGAGTCACCCACAGGGACCAGAGACACATGTGGCTCCCTGTGGGTTTTCTCTTCCAGGTCTGCAAAATTTGAGCTGACAGGCAGCAAGAAGGGTCATATTCTGCACAGATGACTAGTTAAAATTAAAAAAGGGTAAGAATAAGCTATCAGCTCTGGTATCATGGAGTGCTTCCCAGGGAGCAAAGGCTCACAGGTGCAGAGCAGGCACAGAGCACCCAAAACAGGGGGAATCAGTGGTTGGGCAAAGGTGATACCAAATACTTGGGGCAGCCAAAGTTAAATGGAGCTCCAGGAGTTCACAGTGCATCATCAATGGTCTTTGGGGCCCATGGACCACGTGGACTGCAAGATTCAGGAATGGCCCCTCAGCTCTTCCCAGAGCAGTGCAAGGCTCATCCTTGCATCACCCAGCAGGAGCAAGTTCCCATGTTGGACATCACCCCAGACCCACCACAGTCCCACACACTTGACCATCCCTGTCAAACTGCTCCGCTGCTGCTTTGTAACCACTTATTTATTCATTCAGTAAGTGGTTTGTAGACCATTACTGTCATTTGCCCAACCTCCTGCCTAGAGAATATCACCCAAGCAGCATCTTCATGTCCTCAGCATGTGGCCAGTGCAGAGCATCCCTTTGGAGGTCATCCAGCCCCGAGTCAAAAGACCCTTGGAAGTGAAGAGCTTGCAGATCCCAGGGTAGATTCTTCCAGTGACTCATTACTGTTGACTGCTGGAAATATGTCACTTATTTCCTGCCTGAACTGTCCCAGCTTCAGCTCATCTCCCACTAGAGCAGAAGGTCTCAGCCCACGGTCAGCCTGCTCCCAGGAGCTGATGGACGTCTCCTGAGGGGTCTGCAAACCAGGAGACACACAGGCATGCAGCTCACCTGGCAGGGTCTGCACTCCAGAGGGGAGGGACGTGCCAGGGGAAGGCTGCCAATGAAGAGGAGCTCAGAGGCATTGTGCTACCTCTCCTCTTCCAGCACAGAGGCATTTTTCCTCCTAGGAAGGGCATATCCATCACCAGAACTGATTTCTGCAGGAGAGCTGGTCTCCATCCATACACCACAACTTCAGGAGCAGGGGAAGGTTGCAGGGCCATTTGCAAACTGTTTCCTTCCTCGAAGCAGCTGGTTTTCAACGAAGGCAAGTCTCAGCTGATGGGAGGATCTCTCTGGACCCCCTTTCCTTGTTTCTGACACCACAGCCCAACACTTGTGCATGACACTCTGATGAAAAGTTGAAGTTTGCCCCTGCAATATTTTAATGAGAACAATTTTGTATTGTCATCAGCATCGGCTGCCGCGGCAGCGAGACAAAACAGAGCTCACATTTTCCAGCTCGCGGGGACACCAGCCTGGTTACCCCCATCCAGAATGATACACAGATATCTCGCGGTTACAGCATCCTCCTCTCCCGTCATCCTCGCGCTGAGCCCTTCTCCCTCTGGTGGCAACGGGAAGGCTCGGAAACCCTCCGAGTCCTGCTGACACCACCTACGACCCGCAGAAACGCAGGTACCCGTGACAGCAACGTGTCCCTCCCAGGAGCCGAGCCCCTCCTGGCCTTTGGGGAGATGCTCCTGTCCCCAGGTGGGGGTGTGATGCTCACCCCAAACTCTGCACCGCATTTGGAAGGAGCATCTCCCTGCCCTGCAGCAGATATTTTGTTTGCTGCTGCTTCTTTCCAGCCCCCACAGGGAAGCAATCTGAGGCAGCAGAGAAGCTTTGGGAAGCCGGATGGTAGCTATCTGGGGGGGTGTAAGGTTTTAAAATAATTCGGGAAGAAGGGAGGAAGCAAAGGTTCCCTTTGTAGCAGGTGTTACAAAGCCAAGGAAGTCATCACATTCAAGGAAGGATGATTGCACGGAGAAGCACAGCCTTGCACCCATACACCACAACTTCAGAACCAGGGGAAGGTTGAAAGGACATTTGCAAACTGTTTCCTTCCTCAAAGCAGTCGTTTTTCAGCCAAGTGACTCCCAAAGGGCAAGTCCGAGCTCCCTGGACCAGGCATTCCATCTGCCCGCTTTGGAGAGGCTGATGGGCTCTGGAGCAGATAGATACGAGCCTCCTCCTCAGCCCGTTCGCCAAGGAATGGCACCCATCCCAAACACCTCCAACCGCACCCCCACACCTCCAGGCCGGCCCTCAGCTCCCTGGTCAGCCCTGCCCCGGGCTGGGGGCTCGGTGGGTGCGGAGGGTCCCCCGCAGGGTGCCCGCAGCCACACGATGGTGCTGCAGCCCCGCGCAGGGAGCGGAGAGCAGTACCCGCCGGTGAACCCCCATCGCAATGCTCTGCTCTGCTCCAACCCCCCCACGGGGCCAGGGACCCCCCCGTCCCGCTCCCTTTCCCCGCCCAGGGCTCGCACCCGCTCCGCAAGCACAGGACGTCCCACAGCTCAGCCCCAGAGCTGGGTGGAAAAAAGCCGGTGGAGAGTTTTCCTTGTGCCAACTTCATCCTCGAGAGAGGAACAGGGAAGCACCGGTATCTTCTCCAGGGGACTCACCCCTGGGATGTCAATGCCTGTGGAGCTGGCTCCTCTCACTCTCTCTACAAGTGGCAGGAATCCCAGTTCCTCAAGGGGAATGAGGGGATTTGTGTGGCAAACCCTCCAGCACGAAATGAAAGGGTCACTTCCCACTAGACCAGGTTGCTCAAGGCCTTATCCAACTTGGCTTTGAACACTGCCATGCTTGGGGCATCCACAACCTCTCTGGGCAGCCTGTTCCACCCTCATGGTAAAAAAATTTCTTCCTAGTATCCAACCTAAATTTCCCTCTTTCAGCTTCTACCCACTTAAGCACCAAACTCTGTTGTTTTGCAGTCCCAGGTGTGTTTCACAGTGTTGCCATTTCCTGTTTGAGCCAGGGGTGAAAAATAAGTTGGCACATACAATGCACACCCCAAAACCCACAGATGCAACCCCTGTCCCCGCTCTCCTGGAGCTGTGGCAGACCCTGGGCACATCCTTCGCCCACGCTGATGCTGGAGCAGGAATCTGGTAGCTCTGAGCTTTAGATATTTGGAAAAAGGCAAGGGATGCTTTAGTTCATCACTTGCAGGGAACACCACTGGCAGTGTCCAGGGGAGAAACAGCAGCTCTGATCACTCTGTCCTGGGAGAGAGCCCTGCTGGGGATGGGGATGGGGATGGGGATGGGGATGGGGATGGGGCTGTCCAGGCAGCCAAGCCCAGCTCCATCCTGCCTCCCACAAACCTCCACTGTGCTTCAAAATAAGCACAATGCTTGGGCCTCTCTGAAGTTTGCCTTGTGGGCTTTTTCTGTTTGTTTTTTTGGAGCTAGGAGAGTTCACATTCCCAAGCTTTTCCCTGCAGCCAGTACAGCAGGGTTTATTTTTTTTTTTTAATAAAAAAGAAGAAAGTGGAGCTGAGCATGTAACCTCAACTTCCCTGAGCAGGGCATCAGCCTCAGGCACTGAACAAGCAGCCTAAAAGAGGCTGAAGGAGCTGGGTGAGGGTTCTGCAGCCTCATTTCTTCCTTCCCATGACAAAATCTCAGTCCCAGCCACATCTCCAACCACAGCAACGTGTACTGGAGAGAGTCCATTTTACAAAGCTGCTGCCTTTCTTATTTGAAATCTAAATGCACAAGGGAAAGAAAAAACAAGAAAGTGGAGCCATTTGATCCAGCTACAACAGACACAGGGCAGCACCTCCCAAACACCAACAATTTAAGAAAATAGGGGAAAACCAGAGAAATGAGGTATTTGCTTCCCAGCAACTACTGCCAAAAAAAAGGGGGCTGCTGAGACTGGGAAATACAGGCAAGTCTTAAGCACAGAAATGAGAGCAACCACATCTTAACCTGAACTTCTCCAGCCCTCCAGGATTTTTGGGTGAACAACCAAGCTTTGCAACAACCTGCTACTCAGGGAAGGCAAAACTGAGCAGGGCTGCTTTGTAAGCCCCAGCTCTGCTGAATTTAAGGGATCCAGCACACCTGGAAAAGAGATTCCTCTGCAGAGCAGGTGAGTCCAGAGGAAAAGGATGTCTCTTTAGGAGTCCCAGGGTACTCCAGGCTTTGCAGTGGGTTAAGCAAAGGGTTTTACAGCTGGGGATCCATCCTACTGGGGTTGGACCCAGCTGCTGCCCAGCTGCATCTGCTGCTCCCGAAGGAAGGATGTATCAGAGAACAATGATTTGTTTTTATTGGGAATATTTGCTTCCTGCCACCAGGATGCATGTGCAGCAGCAGAGAAATGTTCAGGGGTTCGAGACCTTGTGTACCATGTGAGGCAGAAAAGGCTTGTCAAGCAGGGTCTGTGTTACCCAGACATCTGCTGAGGCTGTGAGGGAGAGGTAGACAAGAGCAAACTGCTGAACCTGCCCACCTTCCTCATATGGTGGGAGAGCAGAGCATTCCACTCCAAACCTCACCACACGGCTTGGCCTCTGTGCTGGGGTCAGGAATTACCAGAAGTTTCTACCTGAGCTGTGCAGGGGCTGAGCATCAGTCTGAGCAGGCGTGTCACCAGCGCTCCGTGGGGTCTCAGCAAGAGCATCTCTGAGGACAGCAGAGCTAAGGGGGCAGCCTTAATGAGTAGGGCAGGTGGGAGGGGAATTTATTTTCTGCTTATTCTGGTTTCCCCTGTGGTGTTAGCAAAGCTCTGTGTTGCCCTCAGAGGGAGGAGAGGCACTGGAGACTGGAGGTTTCCTCCTGCCTTGTCCTCCACAGGGGTGCTCCACTGTTGCAGCCCCACAGCCGGGGACAGGAGGGTTTGTCACCCTGGTCTCAGTCTCTCCTCTCCAACACAACACTTTCAGGTGACACTGCAGAGCAGTGATTTCTCTCTTCAAAGCCACTTTGCTCGCTTCCAGAGCTTTCTGCAAGCGCCAGCTGGTCCAGGCTGCACACGGTGTGGCAGCACTGGACAGCAGGAAACAGCTGAAAGAAAACACCCCCAAAGCGGTCACGGCACATTCCCCAAATAGCAGCGGCCATTCTGCAGCCAGAGAAAGGCTACAAACAGAGGGGGAGAAAGTCAGTCTGCTGCCCGTGGGAGCACAGTCAGGCATTAGTGGCATGTGGGCACCCTCTCACCCTCGGGAGAAAACTCTGTTTTTTGAGAGCATTTTAGTCTTTCCTGAAGTCCCAGAGATTTGTGTCCAGTTCTCTGCAGGGTAAGTGGTTCCTGCTGGCTGCTCCAGGCACGATGTTCTGCATCTTACTGGGATGAGACCGAGGTGGAAAAGCCACAGGTGTTGCTGGCCGGGAGCTGCTGAAGGCTGGCTGAGGGACAGGCAGGATCCTGCCTGCAGTGAGGCTCCTGGCAGAGAGCTCTGTCCCATAGTGGGCCATGAGGAGGTTCTGGGAGCACTGAACACTCCAATGTCTTCACAAAGTCACCCCTGAGGTTTTGACTCCCACGTTACTCTGCCTGGCAGGCACCTGCCTCCTGTTCTCCTTGTGGGAGAGGGAACCTAAGGGAACTCTGTCCCCACAGACCCACACGGCTGGGCAAGAGGAGGGCAGCTGTCTTATAAACCCCTCTTCTACCTCTGCTGACCAAGAGACTTTGTGGGACCCTCATGATTTTCCCTTCCTGATTCACGGGATACTTGTTACCAAGGGGAAAAGACACATCTTCACCTTCCCAGTTCTGAATGCAGTTGAGTCACAAAACCTCCTTTCCCTCAATGAACCCACTCTTTGAGGGGGTGCTTTCCCCCTCCTACCCTCAGCAGGAGCAAGGGGAACCTGGCTCCGCGTCCCCTTCCCGCTCCACAGGGAGACACGTCCCTTCTCTCCGGTGACTTCCCTGCCAAATTTCAACAGCACAGGGAGTTTGTCGAGGCTGCAGGTGACCTCCCTGGCATCACACTGCAGGCCCACAAACACACTCACAATAACACACACACACACATTCACACTCGCACACACAGCACCCAGTCCCGCCAGGGAACCCTCGGAGTGCGGGACGAGGGCGTTGGGACGGCTGGTCGGTCTCTGCGGGTGTTACCAGTACGGGGTGGTGGCGAGGAGGATCTGCAGGGCCATGGAGAAGCAGGGCAGCTGTGCCACGCTGTAGGCCACAGAGCGCGTGGGCGCCTTCAGCCGCAGCAGGTAGGCGATGGTGTGCACGATGCGCCCCACGCAGAAGATGAGGAAGTGGATCCTGGCCACTGAGGGACTGGGGTCCAGCAGGGAGTAGACAGCTCCGAGGAAGAGGAAGGGAAAGATGTTCTCCATGTCATTGCGGTGGGCCCTGAGAAGGGAGATAAGGATGTTCCAGCCCACCAGAATTCCCTGTTGTCTCCCGTCCCTTCTGGCCATCCCTGGGTGCTGCTGGCCACCTCCTCCCCCTTACACACACACAGGCAGCAGGATTTCACACCCCATGTCTCTCCCTTGGGATGCTGAGCTCCCAAAGCTTGTTCTCCCTGACTGGGATGCCTTTGCCCTGACAGATGACAGCTCCAGGGTTGGAGCTTTTAAACAAACAGCACAAAACAAGGACCCCGCAAAGCTGCCAGAAGCTCGAGGCTGGTGCGGTGCCAGCACGGCACGGCCCCAGATGTGGCCACGTTGCACAGTGAAAGGCAGTTTCCAGACCACAGCTTCTCCAGAGGAGAAACTCACAGGATGGGAGTGTTTGTGGCTTTGCCACTCTCTATAAATGCATCCAGAGGGGATCAGGGAGGAGCATCCCAGGCATCCTCACACTGTGCCAGCAACACCTGGAGGGTGGAGGGACCATGTGGTGACACATGGCATGGATGGGGGCAAACTCTGCTCCAGCTGAACATGCTCCTGGGTGTCACAGCATCAGCTGCCACCACAGTGGATCCACTCATGCCACGAGTGTAGTCTGAGTCCCTCCTTCCCCAGGCACCATCCTTTGAAGGAGGGAAGTCAGTCCCCAGAGTAGCAGCTTGTCCATCACTTCTGCCTCTCTTTCTTTCCATAGCACAGAGCCCCATCCTCATGCTTCCATAGGGGGACTGTCAGGTCATGCTCTGGTCATTGGGGATGGATCTGCTCTGGGAGAGTGACCCAGGCACGAGGTTAGGTTTTCCCTGTTATCTGTGAAGGTTTGAGAGGCTGAGATGAGTCCTTGATAAGAGCTGCCACTGCTTCCCCATTCTTGTGCATGTCTGAATGTTCACAAAGCCAAGAGAAGATTTCAAATTATTTCTTCACCAAGGCAAAGGCCAGGGCTGCTGTTCTGCACAAGATGAGAAGTTCTCCTACCTGGTCTTTGCACCTGCATAGAAAGCAGTCACTATCTTAAGGATAGGGATATTCAGGATTGGGGGGTGAATATGGCAAGGAGGCTGCTGGAAATCCTATTTCACCTGCTTTGTGGGTGCAATTTTGGGACAGCATGGAGGAACTGGCCTAGAAAAGACACTAAAATGAGTCCTGCTGTTGTAGAAGCAATGCCAGGAGGACTTGGTGGGGATGAGCTGATCAGAGCCTGGACACAGAGGAGATGTATTCCCTGCCAAACCTGGGAGGGAGAAGGGGAGTTGCTGTGGATCTGCTTCCCTCCTGATACCATCTGGGATGAAAACCTAACATCTCCTCTTTTTTTCCAGGGAAACACCTTGGGTTTAATCTGTCTTCCTCAGGGCTGTGAACAGATCAGCAAGGACTGACTCTGAGTGCTTTTGCTGCCCAAGTCAGATCCCAGACTTCCCTGCGTCTTTGCTGCAGCTCCAGTTATTTATTTTTATGGAAGTTTGTTTATTGTGAATAATCAAAAGAGGATTATGATTATTATTTCTGGTATTGTTTTCTTTTTGCCAGGAAGGAAACAGCTCATTTGCCCTCCTACTCCCTCTGGCAGCCCAGTGATTAGGTGGCACTGGATGTTTCCAGCTCATTTGCCCTCCTACTCCCTCTGGCAGCCCAGCGATTTGGTGGCACCGGATGTTTTCTAAAGCAAATGCTGGAGGTGGTGGGCGGTGAGTGATGAGGGCCCCACCCACAGCAGAGAGGTGGCAGCTGAGGGCTCAGTGACAGGAGGGCACAGCTCCTGCCCCTTTCCTGCACATCACCCAGCATTCAGGGCACCTCCTTTGGTAAGGGGGACAGCAAATCAAGCCCAGGGCTAAATAACCCCATGTTTTACCCCTGAGGAACTGTGAGCCCCACAGAAGAGGGGGAAGATTCAGAGCTTGCCCAATTAGGGAGGCAGAAGTTATAGCAACTCCATTCAGCCTCTTCCCAAATCCCTCAAAAGGGCAGCTGGATACAACACCGGAACCAGTCTCACAGTTCCCTGTCCAAGCTGTGCAGGGATCTGGGGGGATTCAGGGAGCAGGACAGAAGGAGACTTTGGGTGTGGGTATAGGATGAGACCTTGAGAGCTTGTGGGACTCGGAGCACCTAGAAAAGAGTTCTTCCAGAGTCGGCTGTTGGACCCAAACCAGGATCCTTCCACATGTCCTTGCTCCAGAGCACACCCCGCTCCCATCAAAGATTAAACTGCTCTTAGTGCACAGGGTCCCACAGCCCAGCTCGAGGCATTCAAACCGCCCAGGCAATTACTTAATTAATGAGCCCTTTAGCTTCCCACTGCTCCTCTGCCGGCGGCTGCCAGGGATCCATCCCCCTGTGGAGCAGAGGGAATGGCAGCACGGCCGGGTTCTCACCTGCGGCACCGCTCCACGTCGGGGTCCGGGCGGCAGAACTGCAGCCCCCCGTTGCGCAGCGCGTCCTCCGGGTTTGCAAACGCCTGCAAGACAGTCCCCACATCCCCACAATGTTTTTTCAGGAGCCCCAGAGGTAGAAGTTTGGCCCCCAAACCTGCCTTTCACAAGCGTGAGGGCAGCTGCGCTTCCATGTTTAACCCTTGCCCTGGGGGTTAAACCCCGCACCTGCCCAGGGGGTTTCCTTATCCTCCAAAAAACCCCAGTGCTGCCTCCTGATCAGGTACCAAACCTCATCCCAGTCCACTTCTTCCCATGAAACCCATTTAAGGGAGACTGTGCCAACCGGCAAGTGAGATCACTGCTGGCACAGAGCTTGCAGACACAATGTGGCATCTGAAAGATAACAGGACTGACAGATTAAGAAATGCTCCCTGGCTGGCTTTTTGGCAGTGGTACCGTGTGATTTCCCCATGGGGAAATGGGATCCTACGCTAATAAAGTTACAAATAAAAATGACTTATATGAGCTCCACACCTATGCTCAGAAGCTGTTCTTCAGGGACCTGGTTCCATATGACAGCTTCATTTTGCAGCCTGGAAAGGGCCCTGGTGCTTTCTTTAATCATGCTACAAGCCTAGATGGTCCCAGGGCTGGAGCATCGTTTAAAATCGCAAGGGGAGGAGCCACATCAGTTACAGTCATGTCACAGCACAGGGTTATTGCTTTGTATTTTATCTGGGAGCAGAAATCTCTCCCTCCCACTCCACTGATGGAATTGGAAACCCCTCAAATACTTTTAAACAGATTTTATAAACAGCTGAGTTTTGCCAGGAATTTAATTTGGGCTGTGGGTGATAAACTCCCCAACTCCAGACAGCTGCTGGAACTCCAGGTCTTCCCTGTATTTTTCCCCCCCGTGTCCAAGAACGATTTCCTCCAGCTATTGTTTTTATTCCCCATGACTTTCTGCTCTCCTGGAGCATTCCCATAGCCAGTCAGCCTCCAAAAGCTCAAAAGCTTTCTGTTACATTCCAAGGAAAAAAGACCATTTCAGTGATTTCCTCTCAAACCTTTTCTCCTCCCCTCCTTTTCTTCCAGGCATGGCAAATTAACTGTAAACAGTCTCTTTCTAGAAGCATCTCACCTGCTTGCCATTTTAGATCTGTTTATTATTTAGATTAGGTTTCAGAAATGATAAACATCAAGCTACAGATGGTAGAAACAAACAAAAAGGGCTAAAGAGAAGTGAGATATTTATCTGCTACAGCTATGAAACTTGTTTTTCTTTCAACTTAAGTCAAAGAAGCTCAGTTTGCTTCAGAAAAACTGTGTCGAGACCTTTATAGGAATGAAAGAAGAAAGAAAAACCACAGAAGCCCAAGGAAAAAGACAGAGAGGGAGAGGAAGGAGAAGGAAACTGAATCTTACCTTCTTTCTGAGTCTCACTTGTCCCGTAATGATGGCAACGACATACATTTTTAAAATCAAAATTGTGCTGTAGAACGTAAATGACAGAAACACTTTGTTTTCCATCATTTTGGAGGAAGGTGCCGCTCGGTCGCCTCAGCACCCGGAACCAGTGGAGATCTTGGGCTCTGCGGGAGAGGGGCAGGAACAGCTGTGTTTGAACACGACACAAATCCCCCCTCATTTCTCTGGCAAAAGCCCAGGGCCTCTGTACCGCCCCTGCCAAGCTGAGGGTGAGCAAAGCCCAGCTAGCCCACAGAACAGGCTCGCCCTGCCCCGCACACCCCGACATCACCAGCTCCGTGGGGATGAGATGCCCCGAGCCGGGATACAGCCCCCTCGACCCTGTGGGCCACAGCCAGGCTCAGCCTGGCCACAGCTTGACCCCCTGCCTCCCTAAACCAGCCCACCACGACCCCCTGTCCCACCTCCCGTGCGTGCCTAGAGGGACAGAGCTGCACGGAGCATCCCTCGCCCGGCCGGGCAGTGCTCACCCACAGACAAGAGCTGATCTGCGCTCGAAGGAGGAGTTAGGAAGAAGGCAGGCACCTACCTCAGCCACATCCAGCCCTGTGCTCCTGCGCTCAGCCCGTCCCCTATCCCACAGCCCACCCCTCCGCAGCAGCGCTCCCAGTACGTCCCAGTCCCGCCCAGTCCCATGGCAGAGGCTCCCAGCCCTTCCCTTCACATCCACCTGCCGAGGGATGGAGAGCGGACAGAGCTTGCCCTTGGTTCATCAGCACCCACCACCCCGGAGCCTGGGCTGTCCCTGCACCTCCGGCTGGGAGGGGAGCCCGGGAATTGACCCCAACCGGGCAGGTCCTGGACTGCAAAGCCCCAAAAAACTGCAGCAGAAGCGAGGAACAGCCTGCCCAGCCCCGAAGGCGGCTCGTCTTGGTTTCTCCGAGAGGGTGAATCAAGGCAGTCAGGTGTAATTTTGTCCGTGGTTTAGAAAATGCCACGTGAATTTGGAGCTGCCTTTTCCTCAGCCACCAAACACTGTGGATGAAAGAGTGGGATCTGAGCCTCTGGCAGGCAGCTTGGATGGTCTTCCAGCCTTTAACTCCTTCTTCCCCAGCCCTGGCCCCAGTGCTGGCAGCAGCAAACCTCAGTGAGCCAGCAGTGTGGGGGCTGACAGGAGATCTCTGAGTTTATTAGTGTGGAAGGGCTGGATTTTGTGTTTATTTCCTTTACAAAGGAAAAAAAAATAAGAAAAAAACTTATTTCAGGAAAATATAAACTTTCAGATATTGAGTGGAAAATGAATGCTTTGAGGACACAAGGAGTTTTATAATGAATTGACATGTTGGAATAAGAAAAAATTTGTTTCAAGGCACACAAAAAAAAAAGCCTCAAGAAATAATGAACCAGGTAAGATTTGTCATTTACAAAATCATCTATCGAAGCATCAGTGCCTCTAGGACTGGTTTTGTTCTTCAGGGCTTTTTAACTTCTTAACTGCCATGGAGCAAAACTAAATCCTGTGCTTTCCAAGAGAGTCCAGAGTATCCCAACAGGAATATTGCACTCAGCCCAGGACTCGGCCCATTGCTACAGCCCCTGGACAGGTTTGTCCCCAGCTGAAAGCACAAAGGAGTGAAGAAAATGCAAAGCTCAGTGTCCAATGGGGCCCATGTGGTGCAAGTGCGGAGATGGATGGAGATGCTGGTTTTGTGTTGCCATGGCATGGGGAGGGGGGGAGGTGGACCAAGGAGGAGCCTGCATGGCCTCCTTCTTCCACCTGTTACCCAGAAATGTTTTGACAAACCAAAACCTCCTACCAAGAAATATTCTGCAGAACGTGCCCACAAAGAACGGGAAGTTTGACCACAGTCCCACTTGCAGCACTTTGCACCACAGTGGTTAATAAGATGTGATCAGCACCCCAGCACTGGGGGAAGAGAATTCAACATGAAATTGCAGTGACAGATCGACAGGTTTATCCTTCTTGCCCTTCCCAGAACAATTGCCTTTTGGTAAGTCTTGTGTTCTCAGCTATATTATGGGAAATTCAGCCTGTGGTTGCAATGGTATTGTTAGAGCCCTGTAGAGCTACTGGGCATTTAATCACCAGCAATCTGAAAGAACCACACATGTTGAATTCAATAAATTGTGCTATTCCTGAACCCGACTGGCCGTTTTGAACGTGACCAGACCCACAGTTCACAAACCGTAGTCTCTGAAACATTGTCAGGGCCTATGGTTACGTTTTTGCAACACTGCAGAGAGCCTTTGAAAACCCCAAACGCTTGGTTTCAAGGGAGAGAGGTACTTGCAGCTGGTCACCATCACCACCCCGGCGCCGGGGCGGCTGCAGAACAAGCCCTGGCACCGCCCGGCGTGGAGCTCCTCAGCCAGGCAGTGTGTGCCTCCAGCAGGCTGCTTCCCTGGGGGTGGGAATGGGGGCACCAGGACACGCAGCAGCCGTGTGGACTCAGCCACTGCAGAAAGAGCTGGGGTGTTCACCGCCAAGCTACATCCAACCCCACCCACGTCTCCCTGGAGGTCGCAGGGTTTTATAAACACCATAATGCCAAGAGTAAGTCGTTGGCGGCAAAGCCACATCCCAAACCGCTGCTCCCTCCCTCTTCTCCTCTCCGCAGCTGATAGGGATCAACCCACAGCAGAGAAGACCTCGGGGGTTATGCAGGGTTGCACCAGCCCTGCAGCAGGGATGAGACTTTTCCCAGCAGTCCCTTCCCCAGCTCTCCCAGGGGTCTGGGAGAGGCCAGGCAGCCAGACCCTCCACCAGCACATCACACCCTCCATAGTTTTTACCAGATGAGGATCCAGCCCATGGGGTCCTTGGTAGTGAGATCTTTTTCCTTCATGCACCTTCCTCCCCTCCCGAGGCAGCCACGCCTCACTGAACAGCAGGAATATGCACCTGCAGACAAGCCAGGACTCCTCCTGCCAACCAGCCAGACTTCTCCTCCTTGGTATTATTCAAAGCCTGGCAGGAAGCCCTGGACAAATTGCACCAGCAACTGGCACAAATTTAAATTCAATGGAGAGATCAAGAAGCGCCGTTTGTTTAGGAATAAACCCTCAGGGCAAACTCAGTCACACCATCTCCCTGGCGTGTAAAAATCATGTGGGCAAGGAAAGTTGTTTATTTTGTGTGTTTATGCATTTCAGACCCTTTCACTATTACATAGAGTGGAGCCCCAGTGGGGAGGGACGTGGATGGGGATGAGGGGCAGAAGCTGCCTGTAAAAGCAGGTGAATGCTCCTGGGATCCCAGCTCCTGCTTGGTTTCGCAACTTCAGGGGTCTCACACTGGGCAGCACACATCCACACGTGCACCTTCCTGGCTTTTGGAACCCAAGGCAATGCAGCTGCAGGAAGCATGTTCAACCATCCCATTAATCCAAGCGGAAGCAGGCTGTTAATATTAATGGTTTGATCCTCCTCCACAGATCACATTCTTCATTGCTTGAAGGAGACCAGGCCCTTAAACTACAATCTGAGCCTTACAGCCTTGAGCACAAGAAGTTTCAATGCAGGACAAGACCCACCCAAAATCAACATCACTAGCCAAAACACTACTTTTTTCTTTCTTTCTTTCTTTTTGAGAAATTATTAATAATAATCAGAGTCAGGCTTTGAAAGATTTAGTCATCAGGTTAGACTGACCCCATGAGCTGTGGAGAAAAGATGGAGGGTTTCGCTGAAGGAGGAAGTGAGCTGTAGCAGGCAGAAGGAATGAAAAATTCATGGGAGATGCTTGAGAAAAGTACTTAAAAATAGAAGCCTGTAACACCAATCCTGCTTTGGAAAGATTATGGAATAAAAATCACCCTCAGTTCCCATACGGGCTGTTATTTATTTGACCAGCTGAATTACACTACAGTATTATAACTACATGTTTTTCCACTCTTGCTATGTTGGGGAATTTCCTGGTGGCAGTGACATGAGAGGGTTGGTTGTGTAATAAATCCTGCACGGTGGAACACCGGCACATCTGCTGGGGTGGCACGGCGCGGGCTCCAACCTCATCCTAAAGGGCAGCAGACTCTTTGGGCAATTACAGCCCAGATTCCCCAAAATTTTCCCAAACCCATTACATCCCACAGCTGGGGCTAGGCAAACAGCCCGAGGGGAGTGCTCCAGGCAGGTGGGTGGCACTTCTCCAGCGCGTTCCCACATGCTGGTGGAGAAGGTGCAGAGCCCAGTTGGGGTTTTTGCTTGCCCTGAGCCTACAGCTCGGCCCACAGCTCCAAGAAGAGCTGAGCCACATTCCCAGCTTGTTTCAATGCTGCAGTGGACACCAGTACCCCCCTTCCCTGCCATTTCTTCCTGCTGTTCCCACCGCAAAGCCTTGGAATCAGCACACATATCCCAGTGCTCACTTACCCTGGGCTGCACCCATCCTTGGGAATCCCATGAGAGGCTCATGGAGTCAAACACAGCTTTTCAAGTAAAGACATGAGCATTTTAACTATCAGTTAGAGAGAAGGGTGCTCCACCTGCCCTCACTCCTTAGTCTGCACAAAAACTCAACCACCGTGACGCACCTTCTTCTGCCGGTGAGTGAAATCCTGTTGCTTCACCTGCAGCTCCCCGTGCCCAGCCTCCTGGGCTGCTCCTGCTCTTTGCAGGACACAGAAGATACTGCAAAGTCACTGAGCACTGGAACCATCAGCATCTCTGGCCTCTGGAAACAAATGGGATGTTTCAGCCTTTGGCAAACTCCGGCAGATTTTGTCTGGTTTGGATTTTAAAGTGACGGTACTGGCTGGAGCTGCCTGAGAGGCCTCAGGCATGAGGAATGTACAATCAGACTCTCCCAAATTGTCCTTCACACTTGGAAGACCAGATGCCTGCAGCAGGAGAAAGCCAGCAGGAGAGGCCCAGGGAAGGGGCAGGGGTGTGGTGGCTCTGAGTCGCAGGCAGAGCAGAACGGAGGAAGCTGCTGTTCCTCAGCCAGTCCCAGGACAGGGAACTGGTCCAGGGCCAAGTGAGAGGCAGTGGCACGTTGTCCTCCTGCCTTCTCCCTCCAGCTCCACCCACAGTCCCTTCCTGTCTACTCCCAGGCTGCTGCCCTGCTCCCAACCACCCTCCTGACCCAAAATGTCATACCCACCCTGGCTGCAGGGGAGTCACTCTGTTCCCTGCTGCTGTGACAGCCAGGAGACACTAGAAGAGAGG